GGCGGGTGTCCCTTGTTGAGGTCCTGCCTCGCCGCTGTGAGCTCCTCCAGCTGCTCCTGATGGTTTTCTCAATATTTCTGTGCTCTGCTGCCCACGTGTAGATGAGACCCTGCCTGGGGAGATCCCTTGGCCCTTCTGCAGCAGTTCTCACAGGGCACGGCCCCGCCAAGGGCCCGGGGACACCCTGCAGGTGACACCACCTCGGGGGCTGGTTTGAAACGGAGCTCCTGGACATGGTTCCCCTCCAAGCTTATGTCCTGCTGGGAAGTCTCCTCGCGTTAATGGTCCTGAGTGCAACAACAGCTCTCCTTGGAGTGTACTTATGCATCAACTTGCAATCTGTTGGCTGTTTGTAAATCCACGAATGAGCAAAGCCCCTCCTGGTGCCGCTAAAAGTCAATCTAAGTGCATTTGTAACTCAGAACTGTATGAAATTTTCCAAAATGAAATGCATCTCTACATTGATTCTAGGGAAGCAGGCTGATATGGGAGAGCTGAAGACCGGAGCCCAAATGGGAACCCACATCGCGGGCCAGAAGCTCCGGGAGGCCCTGGAGCACGTGGCTGTGGATGGTGGGTATATCTGCACCTCGAGGTTGCTCAGGATCTGGAGCACGTTGTGCAGAAAAAAAAAATGTGGGGGGCGGGGAACAGAATTGGAGAGAAAAAAAAAAATAGTGGTATTAGAAAAAAAGCCCAAATGCTCATACTTCTCTAGATACAAAATAATAGAACAATCCGGTTGGGAGGAATCTCAAAGCAGTGTCACCTACGACATCTGACCAGGTTGGTCAGGGCTTTACCCACTGGTAGAACCTCCCAGGGCTGTAAAGAAGTCAGGGGTTAGCCCGGGACAACAGAGTGTTTTGCCTAGAAGTCTGTCTGGCCAAAAAGGTTGTTTGGGAAGCAGTGCTGAGGTGAAAGTCTCCAAAATCCTTAAGTCCTCCATGGATATGAGGGCTTCTGATGGTAGAAACTTTCCTTTCTAGGTGAGGCATTTAGAGCTGTATCTCAGAGCCTCCCTCTTGCTTCTGCCCATGTCCTGGGCTCTCCTTCCTCGAACAAACTTAACCAAAGCCCATCTTGTCCCCTACCCTAGGGGACGAGTTTGACCTCCAGGACCTGGACTCCATCGTGGGCTCTGGAGGAGGACCCTTGACCAGCGAGGAGCTGCACGAAGCCGTGGGACACGCTGAGGGTAGGAACGGGCACGGACGGCAGCGCGGGGAGCCAGGAGCTGGCCCATTGCTCGGGTGGGATATGCTGTGCACGCAGCACAGGTTAAATTCTCTCTGTTTCCCCCTTCCCTTTAATCTTACATTAAAATTCAGTTTGGCACAGGCGGCCTAGCATGAACTGGGTGCATCTTGGCACGATAGAAATGCCATTCACCAGTGCCTCAAAGGGGAAGGGGGCTGTGCGGGGAGCACGTTGCATGTGGCATCGTGTGCGGAGGGAGGCGATGGCTGAGGAATGGCCTTGGAAAGGGAATTTAATCTTGCTTGGCCTCCCCCACCCTGCCTTGGGGGGAGGGAGCTTCACTGCATTATTGTGGCTACAGACCTTTAGATCCTGAGATGGAAAGGGTAGGTGAAAGGCAAAGGAGTCTCTATTATTATTAATAATACCCTTTTTTGCCAAGACTCTCCCTGCTGGTTGCCAGCATGGAGAGGAGGTTTTCCAACTTCCTTGTTGCAGAGGACGGTGTCACTGTGGATGCTCTGGGCTCTGCCCTGGCCACCATGGGGATCCACTTAACCCCGGAGGAGCTGCAGGAGGTGCTGAGTTGCGTCTCTGTGGATGGTGAGCATCTCTCTCGCTGTCCTTTCCCCATCACTGCTGAGACCAGAGAAGCCAGAAACTGCTGGTGGGACATCCTGCCCTGTTCAAGTGCTGCTTGGGCTCTATCCTAGGTGACAAGGTCAGCATCCAGGATCTGAACACCGTCCTGGGCACCAAGGGGGTCCACCTAACCAGCAAGGAGCTGCAGGAAGCCTTAGCACATGTGGCAAGTATAGGTAGGTATTTCAGCTCCTTTTCCTTGCAGGAAGCCTAGAAATCTCTGGGATTCAACAGGGACCATTGAGAATGGTCACCAGCCTTAAAATGACACAGTAATGTGGTAAAAATAGAAGAAAGTTGCTGGTGGTGAGAGCTCAATGATGGTTCCTCTGCAGTAGGAAATTCCTCCTCCACTGTCTCAGCACATTATTTTGATACCTCCAGCTCCCGCAGTGCCATAGTGGGGGTCGTGTCCCGTAAAGTCACTCTGGATTCCTCCCAGGGCAAAAGGAAGTTCAGTACTTTTGCTTTCAAATTCCCCTTTTTCCAGTGCCTGACCCTAGTTTAGGATTCTATCCTGCCTTCATTTGGAAGGAAAAAACCACTTGTGAAAGCCCCTTGCTTGTGCAGGAGCAGCCTTGAGGTTCTCCACCAGCACCTACTCCTCTCTTTCTGTGGTGTCTGTCATTTGCACTGGTGCTGAGCTCCCCTCTCCCCTTACAGCTCACACAAAGGTGAATTTGAGTGAATTCACGGAGGCAGGGAGGGCTGGCCAGAAACCACCCCTGGGGGAAGGTGAGTGGAGTTCAGCAGTGCAAGTTGCTGCTAGATGACAGCAAACAGGATTAGACAAGAGGCCTTCAGAGGAAAACTCTGCGGCTGCCCATGTAACGAATTGCAAATCTTGGTGACGAAGCTGCAGCCCTCGGTTGAGCTGAGCCCCCAGCGCCGCCACGCCGGGAGAACCCAACCTCCGACTGCGGCCGCAAGGTTCCCACCCCGCGTTCCCAAGGGACGGTGTCTCCCCCGGGAAACTCTCGTGTTGTTCAGTGCCACCAGGAATAAACGCACCAAACCTGAGGCTGCTGGAAAGAAAAGCAGAGCACGATGCTGTCCTCAGCACACTGTGTTGGCGCTCAAGAGCCTCGAGGGCAGGAATCACAGATGTAGGATGGGCTGCCCGAGACTCACAAGAATTTACTTGGCACCCTCTGGCTTCTGTTCTCCTCCTTGCTGCGACTCTGTTACGTGATGCAGCCCTGATCTGTTCCCTTGCTCTGTTTCTCCCTCATGGAAATGATGGCAGGGCTTTCTCCACCCTGCATGCTAGTGAGATTGATTTCACTAATGTGAATCCTCTAGAGGATTGAGCTGAAAGGCAAAAGATGTTAAAATACTGTTCTTATTTTTAAATAACCAACCTCCCTTTATGCTCTAGCTGCACATCAAAAGGGTAGCACCTTGCTGTCGTGTTTAGGGTGGTGCTTAAAATATCCGCAATTTGAAGGAAAACTGCTTAAAGGGGCTTTTTCTTTTCACAGAGGACAAAGTTGATATCAACGACGTGGGCTCCATCCTGGCCAACATGGGGATCCATTTAACCCCAGAGGAGCTGCAAGAGGTGCAGAAACATGTCCCGGTGGACGGTGAGTGAATCAGAAGCGTCAGTGGGAAAAGGCCTCTGGAAAACGTCCAGTCCAGCCTCCCACTTGCAGCCATCTATCTAGACGAGGTTGTCCATGGTGTTCCAGCTAAGCTATGGATATGCCCAAGGCTGGAATTGCCCCCAGACAGTGGTGATCTGTCCTGGCGTTCCCCACTCCCAGCTCCATGTGTGGCCTCCCCAGCCTCCACCCTGTCTGACCTTGATCTCTGAGCCAGTTTTTCCCTGCAGAAGGTGGGAACGTCAGCCTGAGCGCGTATGTGCGGAGCGTGATGAGCACACGGAGACCCTCAAAGGCCGAGAGTACGTGAGAACGTCCCGTGGGACTGAGGTGCCCCTCTGCGTGCCATGACCGTAGGGGACACTCCTGCACAAAGTGTCTGCTCAGCCCTAGTCCACCCCCAGTCCACCAAGTCCCCAGTGAAGTCTCTTTATCCCTGGTCCCACACAGGAGACCTGGTCCCTGTGTTTCATCAGCGCTGCTGGGGTGGGACAGGGCACTGGGACAGCCAAGGGCAGGATGCTGCCAAGGAGCTGGGGACCACACAGCAGTCCATATTCCTCAAGGGCTTCCCTATACAAGTGAGTGAGTGAGGAGCTCCTCGAAGTGGGATCCTCATACAGTGGAATCTCATCCTACCCCCACTGTGGGTGCCAGTCTCACTGCTGATTATGGAGGTACCCAAGGTGAGTAACTCAGACCTGAACAACTGCCTTTTAATTGTCCTTCTCTTTCGTTATTTCAAGAGAACCGGGTGGACATCCAGAGCCTGGACAACATCCTAAGGAGCGCAGAGATCCACCTCACCAAGGAGGAGATGCAGGAAGTGCTGCGGCAGGTTCCAGCGGATGGTGAGCGCTGCAGGCCCTGCCGTCCTGCGCGCCCGCTCCCCAGGGTGAGCTCTGAGCCCCGGCCGTTCCCTTGCAGCTGACGGAAGGGTGAATTTGAGCGAATTCATGCAGCAAGTCAGAACTGTCCGGTGCACAGACCAAGGAGCAGGTGAGCAAAAAGAGTTGAGCTCTTTCTCCGGTCAGCAGAGAGATCCCGTTGCTTTCTGCAGAGCAAAACCCCTTTGTACCAGCTGGGGATCGGACCCTCTCAGCCCACCTGTCCATGAGCACATATTCCCCTCCATAAAGAGACAGCTTTCTTCCATCTGGCTCCCTTGGCCACCACTGCAGCCACACTTGGCAGTGAAGCACAGCTGTGTCACTGTGACATTAATCTGCGCATGTGCAGTATCCCACATATTACCTGGAATCCCTTTTGAAGGCAGCTCTGAGATCTCTTTAATTGTGGTTGATCGCTGAGGGCAGGTGATGGTTGTCCAGGACCTGGCACTGCCTTGGCTCCTCCAGAGCAGGAGGAGATGCCGCCGGCAGCAGGAGCATCCACGGCCTCGCTGCAGCTCTTTGGCAGTGCAGTCCGCATGGCAGCTCTGCGGGGACCTGCTCTGGCTTGAAATGGAGCTTGGCTGCTCCTTTCCTTTTGCCCAACAAGCTCCCTGCCCCTTTTTGGTTCTTCTCTGTCTGAAAGAACCAAACCCGTTCAGAGCCAGCCCTTGGTCTGGGCTTTCCAAAACTCTTGCTGTCAAGAGAAACCGTTTGTGCCAGGTCTCACTGCTCAAGGCACTGTGGTGCCCCAAGTCAGCAAGAGCCTGCGGTGCCTCCCTCGTTGACTCAAATGTTAGCCTGGAAATACGTAATGTGTGTCCAGAACGTGAGGAGGAAACCTCAGCACCTTCATGAGGGCACCAGCAGGTTCCCAGTAGGGCTGGGGGCTCTTCCCTACTGTCTCCACGTGCTCGGGCTCCCAGGAGGGCACCCAGTCCCACTGGCCTTGCAGAAGACAGGGCAGGGAATCTGAAACACCCTGCGAAGGCTGTGAACAGTGTTACCTCCTAGACCCTGAGTAAGTCATGTTTGCCTTGAAAGGGGAAGTGGAAAACAGCAAAACACCTTGATCTTTGGATATGAAGCCAAGTCCTCAGAGGATCTGTAATAACACCCCGGGCAAAGGCTCACGCCTGCCTAAGCCTGCCCTTCCCTATTAGCTGGCCATGGAAGCTCAGAGGATGTCCAGGCAACGAGAAATCCTGCTCCTAAGGAACTGCCTGGGAAGGGGGCTGGGAGGACAGGGCAAAGGGAAAGGCGGCAGCACAGGATGACACAGCGAGTCAATGCCACTGCAGGGAACAGCAGGGAGAGGTGTCAGCTCAGGGTCCTCTGAGCTCTCCTCCTTGTGAGACCTAAGGCTGGAGGGAAGCTCATCACTCCCTGCTTTTTACTTATTTATTTATTTTTTTTAGTCTTTTCACACCCAGAAAAAGCTCCTCCTGCTCCTGGCCATGTTTCCAAAGCCGGCACGCTGCACCCTCTGCCACAGAAGGAGGTGCTAAAATCCATCTTAAGGAAGGCAAGCAGGTAAGCACAGAGGTGGCGAAAGCACCCACGGAAACGATGGTGCCCCGGCCTGCTGCATGATCGAGCCCAGGAACCCTCCATGCTCCTCTCTGCAACGTTGATCATGTTGGCATCATCAATTTAAAGAAACATATGAGCTACGGATGGAGGATTGTGCTGGATCCCGACACATCAGCCCTATGCAGGCTGCGGGTAACAGAGCTCTAATCCATCCGCTGTTCCTCCAAGGCCAAAGGAAATACCCAGGGTTGTTCTTCCTGGCTGCTGTTTCTGCTTCCCGGGAACTTCTTCCCCGCATGCTTGGGAGCTGCCCCTCTGCGTGTGCCGCTCAGTCAATCTGTCCGTCCTTCTTTTTGCCCGTGTGTCTGGCAGGGAACGTTCACGCACCGCTCGGAAGAGAAGCAAGTCCAAAACAGGAAAGAACTTGACAACGCAACAACTGGAAGGTAACGCTACCTGCACGCGGCCAGCACGGCACGAGGGGCTCAATCCCTGGGTCGAGCTTAGTCCTGTGACCCGTTGGAGATGATGACACAGCAGGGGCCAAACGTACACAGAGCATGGGACAATCCCCTGCCCAAATATTAGGGGAACCAATGTTTGAGGGAAGCATCAATACCCTTTTTGCCACCGAACTGAGGCTCAAGAAGTCAGAGTTAGGAGGTCGATGCTTTGCAACTGGCGACAAGGACAACCTCATCCCCAACTCCCAATCCTCAGCAGTTACAGTTCCTTGTTTCAGAAAGTTTTACTGCAGACAGAGCCTTTCCTCCTTGCCCTGTGTAACTCGCTGTCCTCTCCCTGCTTGCCTGCAGCGTTCTACGATGCTTTCAGCTTCTTCCCTAAAGACTCGGGCGGCAACATCAACCTTCACGGCCTGCAAGAGACTGCCAAGGAGCTGGGGATCAGCCTAACTGCTCAAGAGGCAAACAGGGAGCTGGCGTTTGCAGACGCCGACCGTGAGTGTCCCCAACCCCGTGTCGATCCCTGCCAGGGTGTTCCGGGCGTGCGGAGTCACCTTCTCCATAGGCCTTCCCAGCCCTGGGAAACTGTGTTTAAATGCTCCTCAAGCCAGAGGCTATATCTGGGGCTGTAACATCTTAGTGCTCACCAGCGAATCCATCCTTCATAAATACATATATCACATTCTGGGATCCTCTCGTGTATCCTGAAGCACTAAGATCCACAGCCCAATTACGTGTTAAACCTTTAACAGCTTTTTCTCCTACCCTGTGCTTTGCTAGCTCTGAACTGCTCGCCCCTGCTTTCCATTACGCCGCCCTGGGGCAGAAAAGGGCTTTGCTAACGGAGATCCCGTTTGCTCGCAGGGGACGGCAAGGTGAATTTCTCTGACTTTCTGAGCATTGTTACTGACAAGAAGCGTTTCATGCGGGCGATAGGTGAGTAAGAGGCATCCTACCCAGGCAAGGGGTTATTTTTGCTTCCAGCCAGAGCCTCTCATATCCAGAACTGTCTGAATTGCCTGATCATCAGAACAGTTGGAAGGGAGCAAGAAATCAGGAGCCTCATTTCAGGAATTGTCCTCCTTGCTCCACACCTAGTTAGAAAACATGGGCATGTCTCCCCATGGCACTAGCACTTTCAGACCTTCCTGGGGGCTGCTGGAGTCTTTGCTCTCTGTGAGGTTCAGACAAGGCTCAGTCATGGCTCTGACCACTCTCCACCTCTTCTGCAGTCCCAGAGAAAAAACACAGAGGCAAAAGTGACTCTGCTGGTGCCACAGGGATCCTGCTCTTCGAGGTCTTGTCCAAACTGGTGGAGTTGGCTGCTCTGCCTCAGAAAACTCTGCTTGAGATCGTCAGGTGAGCTGCCATACCTCTGTGGGATGGAGAAGGGGTATCTCAATTAAAGATATTCATTTATAATATAATTCAAGACACTGAAAATAGGGGCCCAGGACTAGATTTCCAGAAGTGTTAGTATCTAGTGAGACGTACAAAAGCATGTAAATACACCAGACACCTGCTCTACACATGGCTGTAAATGCCACCATGTGTCTATCCCACATCTTTGCATCTTTGTATATCCCGTATATCTGGTCCTTCCAGACACACAGTTCCTGCAGTACCCTGGGGAACAGCACTCCGTGCCAAATGGGGCTTGAAGATGTGTTTCACCAAAAACAACCCCATCTTTTGTCATCTTAGGTACTACCGGGAGAAGTTTTTGAGCTGCACTGGCCAAAAAGCCTGGAAGGATTCTAACAGTTTAATGTACCGCAGAAAGAAGCACCACAGAATCAGAAAAGATCAGGCTTGTGTATCTTCCTTTGTAAATGCTGCCCGCATCTCTTTCATGAACCACAAAGATCTACTAGCTTACCTGGGGAGCCTCAAAGGTGAGACTTGCCTGCTGCCTCCCACTCCACTCTCCCAGGGTGGAGGATGGCGGGGTTGCCTCAGCATTACTTAACCCTTCCTGCAGCCCAGGGCGTAATTCCAAAGAAAATGGAGCTGGAACAAACTTTGGGAGGCTGCTTAGCCCCTACGGAGAAAGGAATCACCCTCCAGGGTTGCCTGTGCTGGACGACCACCTTAACCTAGGCCACTACAAGGTGTCTTGGGGCAGGCAAGCTCAGCGTTACCCCAGCACCTTGGAGGCAGCTGGGAGGATTTCAGTCGATTCAGCACCTCAACACAGTGGCCGGGTGCTCCCGCCCCAGGCTTTTTAATGTTGGGCAAGCAGGATTGCAAATGTGGTGACTCACATTTCAGGAAAATGAGGAATCCGGGGCTTCCCCAGGCCCCTCCAGAGAAGGAGGCAACCCAAGAGGCCAGGAGCAGCTGCCTGGGCCCTTGGTGACTCTCGTTCTTATTCTTTTGGCTAGCGTGCGTGCCCCTCTCGAGCAGCCCTTACGCCCAGGTGCCCGTCTTCCCGCTGATTCCTAAACAAGACGCGGTGATAGCGGGAAGGCCAAAGAAAGATTTGCAGAGGCTGGAGAGGCAGAGGAGGAGCGAACCCATAGCCTCGTTCGAAAACCACTTCTTCCGAAAGAGGAACTGGCTGCAGGAGGTGAGAGGCAGAGCTCCGGGTACCTAACAGGAGTAGCGGGAGGCTGGAGACGAACTCGTGTTTTCCTCACCCAGGCGATGGCCCCGAAGGTTCCCGCTGAGTGCAGGAGGCAGAGGAGCTCCCCTCGAGCCCCCGCGCCGCTCCTGAGCCAACGCTGCCGCCGGCCGCCCGACGCGCTGGCCAGGATGCAGGCAGAGGTGAGCGTGAAACGGGCCCCGCGTCCTCGCTGCTCTCTGGGAGCTCCCTGCAGTGACGGGGGCTGTTGAAGGAGTCGCTTCCTTCAGGCTCGTTTTCCCTCCTTTCTCTCCTGCCTCAGAAAACAACAACAACAAAGGGTCCAAGTGGCTCTTTCAGCCCTATCGTAGCCCTTCCACCTGTGTACAAAGGCAGGGATGAGCTTAGGAGATTGCAGGAAGGACATCGGGGCTTTGGGGCACCCAGCAAAGCCCATCAGAGCTGGCGTTACTGTCACCCACACCCATCCCCCTGCTCTCCGCAGGGACCCCAATACATGCCATAAATGTGTCCCCCCAAACTTGCTGTGGATCCCTGTGGAAATTTAGAGCCTTAGCAAGCACACAAAGCTAAGACCACAGACAACTCGGGTACTTATTTAAGCTAGTATTTGGTGACACGGCTAGGATACAGAGTGTTTCGGCTGTCCTTGCTACCCTGCCTCGGAGCAGAGCTGTTGTAACGCGCCCACTGCAGTCAGGCCTCACTCGAGCATGACTGATGATTCATAAAACCTTTAAACGGACTGGTGACTGCTCTTAACGAGAGAGGTCAGCTCGTCATGAACGCAGACACGAAGGCAAAGGCACAGTAGTAACCTAATGTTTAATACTATCAATCAGTCAACACGAGTTGGTTTGGAGCAGGAAGCCCCTCCGAGCGGTGTTTTTGGCCCCGACCCCCAGACAAAGCCCCAGCTCTGCCCGTTCCCCTTGGCCTCCTCCTTCGCAGGCGCAGTGGCTGACCCAGCAGTACCGGCAGAGCCTGGCCCTGCACGAGCGCGCGCGGCTGCTGCGCCTGTGGC